AGTCCACAAGGAAACATGGAAACGCATCCAGCCATCTACCCCTCAGTGGAAACCGATATTTTCCTTTTTCTTCTTGTTCCTCTCAACAACCATGTAGCACAAACTAACCAGAGACAAACTCTTCTTCTGCAAGAAGAAGCTGCACATTTTTCATAGAAATAATTCGAACCTCTCCAGAAAGTTACATTTATGATGCAAAATTTGATTTTAATTATTGGCAGGTAATTGCACTGCAGACTTTAGGTATAAAAGCCGGAAAAAAGCAGGAAAATGGAGAAAAGATCTGAGGTAGAACAAATCATACATTTCTTGAACCCCTTACCTCCCACCGCCAGGCCCCGGGAACGCTTTGACGTCACATTCTGTTCAGCATCTAACAGCACACTTATTTATCAGCTTATCCAAAAGAAAACAACCATAAACTCAATCATAAGCCACATTTTCTTCACAAACACAGAAAAACGATAATCTGTCATCAAATTTCAACTTATTTTCTCTACAATGTTTTCAACTTCAAGAATTACAAAATAAATTATAACCTGGCATAAATGGGCTGATTTTGTCCGTAACGCTCCACAGAAATGTAATATCCGACTGTATTTCCCCCAATATATAATCAGGGGTCCTTCACGTAGGAAACACAGTCTGCAGGCGCATGCGTCTGATATATTTTTTTAGCCAATAAGATAAGATTAGCAGTGAAGTATTGGAAGTGTAGGAGTGAGCTGAAAAGATAGTGTTTATTTATGTGTGTAAGGAGTGAAAGGAAAGGAGAAATAACTGGATATGCACAAAAAACCTATAGTGCAAGTTCTAAAAGTTGAAATTTTGAAGCATAAAAGAAAGTGCCTGAATGAAAATTTGTGTAAAGCTACATAAAAAAAACTTGTTTTTTAGGTCAAATTAGTCAAAAAATTCAAATAATCCAGTCTGTCACTTTTGAGCCTAATTTGGATAAATTGTGCAGAATGGACCTTTTGCATTAAAAAAGGGTCACAGTTTCACAATGCTTAGCACTACAGACCTGACATTTTACACTATTGTCATCTAAAACATGATAATCCGTTCTAGTGAGTTCCAAAGGTCAGCTACGAATTATACACAAAATATAGAATATTTTGCATTTACGGAAGAGGATTAGGGCCAGTGGGGAAAAAAAAAAAGTTAACTAATTTTTAAATTTTATTTCAGTTTAGTATGGGAAAAAGTCAGAATTCTGACTTTTTTCTCAGAATTCTGACTTTAATTCTGACAATAAAAAAAGTCAGAATTCTCAGATTAAAGTCAGAATTCTGAGAAAAAAGTCAGAATTCTTACTTTTTTCCCATGTTAAACTGAAATAAAATTTAAAAATCAGTTAACTTTTTTTTTTTCATTCGCCCTAATCCTTTTCCGTATGCATTGCCTTTTTTATGCAAGAGAGAAAAAAAAGATCATTATGAAAATGTTTGAAGCTACATAGCTAAAGTTATGTAAAACTTGGGGTTTGTATACATATCTAAGGAAACTGCAAGACTTAGCTTTCAAATGAGACACATCACAAACATGTGGGATAATTATTTTTCGATATGTAATTCGTTTGTGCACAGGCTTTAAAAAGGTGGGAGCCAAGGGGTTAATTTCCAATTAATAGAGATATAGCAGCTTTGACTATTGAACCGATACAGTTCAGCACAGATCATGCATACTTTTACTGCTCATGTTGGAAAAGGTTTAATGAATCGATATTACTTAAAGAACAATAGTCCACAACAGTTGATATGAAAACAACTGAGCCAATTCTTGTTAACCAGTGTGTCACATAAAACAGAAGCAAAGTGTTTCTATAAGCTTAAGGTTTTAGATGGAGGTAAATATATATTCAGATATTTGCTTTTTTGGGTGATGTCCGATCAATTGCCAACAATATCGCATAGAGACATCCCAAGTTAGACAGCGGAAGGCAAGGAATAAAAGGAAGAACACAAGGATGAAAGAAAGGTCATAAGGATAGGAGGAAAGAAAACATGGTGAAGGAAAAAAGGATAAAAGGAAGGAATCAAGTAGGAAGGATGATTAAACGGAAATTCAGTAGGAAGCAAGATAGGACACAAGGAAAGGATGAAGGACAATAGGAAGGAAGGAAAGAAGGAAGGAATATTTTCTCTACTTAGCCAGAGATATTGAATTTAAATTCCAGATTTTTTCAGTGATTGTTTCTTTTATCCCAGTAGTTAAAACTTTGATCTTTTTATAAACCGGACCCTGGAGTCTGGAAATTAGAAAGTTGGATAAAATTTCACTTTAATAAAAGTCAGAAGTTTTACCACATTCCCTCTTAATCTTCATGTTAATTCATCAACCAGACAATCTTCTCCTTCTGTAAATAAAATAAAGCGCACATTGTCTTTCTAAACAGCTGGTGAAGCACCTGATGGAGTGAGGAGATAAATTCATCCACACAGAACACATCTACTAGTTTATTCACTTCTAATCCTCTTATCCAGTCCTAATGTGAGCATTCAGAAACTGAAGGATGGGTGAGCAGCCAAACGGCCTAGAGGCACAGCAAAGCGTAAGGGTTCCTATTATTTTTTCTCAAATAAAGCTGCAGCAGGTGTGAATGCCAACAAAACTGAAAAGACGCATTCATCGCCATCTGTTCCAGTACAGTAGGAGCTGCTTTTCATCGATCGGAATAAATAAACCACAAGTCGATTGAGTAGTTTCAGAGATCGGCTGCAAGATGCAGACATCCTTAAAGAATAACATCCAGTCTTTCACTGAGAAACCAACTCAGTGATGATCTAATAAAAGCAAGCAGTGATGTGGAGGGATGCATCCAAAATATTGTTTTTATCTGCAACAGGCTGAGTCCTTTTTTTCATCCCCCACATTAAAATGTTGAATCTGAGCTGCTTAAAGTGGGAGAAAGCAATGCAGACAGACATTAGCTTTATAGAAACCTATAGTTCTCAGAGTAGAGTTGCTTCAAAGCAGCTACAAAAACACGCACATTTTTGTTTTAAAGAGCTGGGTGAAAATATTTGACCGCGACACCCAGATCCAGTTGAAAATAACCATTAAAAAGAAAATATTCGTCTGATCTCCCCAGTCAGAAAGAGCCCTTTAAAAGCAAGCCGTCGGGACAGAACCTAGAGTGGTTCTGTTCAGACGCTTTATAAAAACAAACCAGCAGCAGCCCCAGTCATCCTTGCCCCTGCCTGCACACAGAGGACACATTCATCCCCTAAAAACGGGCACCATGAGGTGGTGGCGGGGGCCTGATGGAGGGAGGGAGCAGCAGACACACTTCAACTTCCAAGACATTAATTCAGCCACTCTGACTACCATGGCAGCGCTGAAGGGCTGGGAAGAAAAAGAAAATTCATCTGCGTTAATCAGATAAAACTGACTCAGTTATGACAAGATGAGCACTGATTTAATGAGCTCCATCCCTGGCAGGAGAACAGCATTCCTTCCACAAAACTTAAAAGTCTTCACTGCTCTTCTTCCCACAGTTCAGCTGAGCTTCTTTAGCTGCGTGAGGCCTAATAAAATAACTAATGCAGCTCACAACTTAATTTTTTCATACATTTTGCAACTGAAAACTTTTGTGTATTTTTGCTTTTCATGTAAGCATCACAACATGGTGCAGAATTGTTAGGTTGAAGGAAAAGGAAGTGAATATGTTGTTCTCTTTGTGGAGGAAATCGTCTGAAAAATAAGTATTCATTCATTTATTCATGGGAGGCTTCATCTGACCCTGAACATAGAGCTACAATAAGATGGTTCAAATAAAATCCTGTGTATTAGGATGGCCTAGTCAAAGTTCCAACTGGACAAAAAAGCCTGCAAGACTTGAAGTCACTAGATGTGGAACAGTGGTAGAGATACTAACATGAACGGTTCTAGACAGGGGCCAACGAGGGCCAGTGCCCCTGTAGATCATGTCCTGGCCCCGGTACCGAAGATATAATACTAAAAGAAGTTCTAATGATGATATGCCCTGGAACAGACATGGTTCTTTTGATCTATTTCTTTTTTTCTTTATAAATTCTGTTTTACTAATTATTTAAAAGCAATAAGGTGATAGCTTCAGTGATGTTGAGAAAGGATCCCAGTTTCCATCTGCTAAATGTTGTTTTTTAAAACATGCTCTATTTTTGCAGCTAAATTAATCTGTTTTTCTTGAGTTCTAATTTCTGATTTTATAGAAAACTGTAACTTTAACTTAAATTTAAGTTAAAAAGTATGTAAAATTCCTAAATTCTGAATATATATTGACCTAATAAGACATAGAATTTTAATTAAACCTAATTGAATAGAAATTTCACTTTATGCAGCTATCTTAATATATTTGAATCCCTTGCCCTGCTTTTTATTTCATGCTTTTCTGTGCCTCCATGAAAAACATGCTGGCCCCCTCCTTGCCCCCCTGGTACATTTGGTCTAGAACCGCCACTGGATACCAACCATCAGATCTGCAAAATATCAGCAACAGAAAAGTGATTCAGAGAAGGATCAACAACAATTCAACCCCTTTCCCTATATTTCACAATTGCTTGCTACTTTTACTTTTTCCTGGACATAAAACCCTGTTTGATCTTCCAACACATGAAGGCTCTGCAGGACATGAAGGCTCTGCAGGACATGAAACACTGCAGGACATCTCCCCAGAGGAAGGAGCGCGTTGGATGCAGTCAATGTGCGGCACCTATGGATTCATTACGCACGCAGACTAGGTTTGCGCACTCATTTTCGGTGATTTCTCCCCTCCTTGCAGGGACCAATGGGGGAGGGGATCCACGGGGGGGAGGAGGGGGACCCCAAAAACAAACTTTAGCTCCAAGTCTTCAGATCTGCACTACATGATGCTCATCTGGTTGGATAGTTAGTCCAACAGCTGTCCCCCTGATGTCCATCCAGGCGGAAATCTCAATGAACTGATCATTTTAATTATTAATTAGTGAGAGTGTTTGACCAAGCAGAGCATGCTCGGTGGACACATTGGTACCGACCTTGGAAGCAGAGGATGAGTCCAGCAGCGCATAGAGGAGCTTTTCCTCTCCGGGTCACCCTGGAGGTCACCCCGCCGTCCCTCCGCAGGCTTCCAGCCCCTGTCTGTAGCTCCATGACCGTCCTAATGGATCCCAGTGCGGTTCCTCCGATTAAAGCAGAAGCGCGTAAAACTCAGTCGAGTCAAACAGAGAGTGGAGTCTCCGTATGCGCACAGGTAGCCCAGCCCCGCAGCTCCACGCAGCTCCCCGCAGCCCGGACGGCTTCAGCAGTTCACCTGGTTGGACCAGAACCAGGCAGGACCATGGAGGAACCAAACGGACCAGCTACACTGAGCTCAGAGCGAGCAGCCCCGACGAAAGTTTGAAGGCGGCCCTAAACTTCCAGGTGGCTGAGAGAGGGAGAGCTGCTGTCTGCTCCTCTCACTCATTCCAGCGCGCTGCGCGGTTCCGACTGAGCGCAGAACCAGAACCTCCTTCACCCCGCTGCCACAGCGAGATTCACACCGCTCAGATCCCAACTCTGCTTGCTCCCACTTCCCAGTCTCTGGTGGAGTGGGTTTTTTTCTCTCTCACTCTCTACGCATCTGGTAAAGTGGGCTGGAAACGCTTAAACCGATTCCAGTCCATACCTTTCACAATAAAAGCCACAAAGCATACCTGAACTACTGAAAGAAGTCATTGACATTTAAATCCGGACTTTGACTAGGCCACTCTAAATGGAAACCATGGGATATGCAAAAAATCAACAGATTTTTCTTTCACAAGTGGAGCAGTACGGCTATCGCTATAGTGTTCCGCTTGATTTATGCATATAAATACTTTTATTATAATTCATGCAGGGAGATTTACAGATTATATGGACACTGCAAAGTCAGTAGAACAGGAAAGGAAAAACAGAAAAAAGGAGAAAAGATGAAAGAAAGAAGAGATGAAAGGGAGACAATAATAAAATGATATGCAATCTTAATATTTATGTCCAAAAATGAAATCTAACCTAATATTTTTAAATTTAAAAAGAATTTAACAAATAGACCCAACTATGACTGTAGAGTTTTTTTTATGTGTTTTTGTCTATTTTTTCACATCTTATGGCACGACAGAATAAAACAACTAATAAAATGTTTTTTTTTATGTGTTTGTTTTTACATCCTTCTCTTTTGGATAAAATCTATTAATTTATGGCATTGTCTTTTTTAAAGTAAAATAAAAACTGAAAAAAGAACCTATCCTTTTTTTCATGAGATTTATTTTTATCTACAACATGAGTCTGTCACATGTTTTAGTACAAACATGACATATTCTAGGAATGTGCAGAAAGGATTTTATATAAACAAACTTTAATCGTAATGTCCTCTTTTAGAGCAAGTCCCCAACATGAATTAAATAACTTAGTTGACTGAAAATACTGTTTTATGTGGGGTTCTTTCAATTATTGCGTTTTTATCTCCCATCAAGGCCCAATAAATGTATTAGCTCTCTTAATGACAGATTCTTCCTGCTGAATCTCTCCAGCTCCTTCAGCATATCTGTTCAAACTCATTTCCAGGAACATCCATGTTTGCCTTCAGTCATTTCATAGATATCTCTAAGCCTTGGTAATGCTCATGTTTTATTAATAATTTTATTTATTGATGATGGAGTTCTTAACTTCCTTTACGCGTCGCCTATATTTCCGGACGCTTGATGCGCAACTTTTCCATCAGTGCAGCTTCCGGTGCCTCACTTTGGATCAGGAGTACAACAGTGCGACCCTCTGGTTTAAATGGATCCTTCATTTAAAAACACCTTTTTATATGATGCAAATAAAAAACAAACAAACAAAAAAAAAAAAAACTATTGTTTAACAAAAATATCAGATAATTAATTTGCCTTGGTGTATTTTGCAATTAGATTTTATTTAGCACCATTTATATAAAATACACAAAAATAGCATTCCTGAAAAAGAGAAAAAACAAGCACAAAATGAACACTAAACCTTTTAATATATGTATATTTATATATGTATTTATATATATATATATATATGCATTTATATATATATATATATATATATATATATATATATATATATATATATATATATATATATATGTATTTATATATATATATATATATATATATGTATTTATATATATATATGTATAAAAAACACTATAAAACTAATAAAAAAAATAACTGCATATATATATATATATATATATATATATATATATATATATATATATATATATATATATATATATATATATATACATAGCAAAGTTGCAGGTTTTATCCTGGTCTAAAGGAGCTGCTCAGGTCTATGAAAACATGAGGTCGCTGCATGTTTCAGAGATGACCCAATTTACCCACAAATCTGAGGTCTTTGAAGATCATTAGATTTAAGAAACACCCTAATTCCAAACTTGAAGCCAACTAGAGGCTAGTAGTCTAACAATCCATTTCCTGTTGTCATCAGGGAAATAAAAGCAGGATTTTGACGAGATGAAACTTCCCAGGTTCTTTAAGCAAAGTTTAAAATATTACACTAATCTAATCCACCAAATGAAATATTTGTCTTCATTTTATACAAAAAACTTCAATTATTGCTTCATTTAATTCAATGTACTATCACCTTATCAAAAATAAACAAGAGTGCTTCATGTTTAACTTCAACTGTGGAGTAAAAAATAAATAAAATGAGCACATAACTATATTGCAACAGAAGTTGCATAAACTAAACCACAGCTTTGAAGGACAAAGTTTGAATTATTTACTGATTTTGTAATAAGTGATGTGACTCTTTGAATCCACAAGTCAGGCTTGTTTCCAGAGTGAGTTATTTTGCAAAGCAGCTCCTTGAGGTGAAGGTGTAGTAAGCAGTCCTGGAGAACCTCAGGGTCTGATTTTGATTTCAGCAGAGGATGAGGATCTAGAAGTAATTTAATCATACAGGACGCAAAGCAGGGGTGTCAAACTGGTTCCAGAAAGGGCCGTGTGCCTGCAGGTTTTCTTTCCAACCAAACAATAGCACACCAGACTCCATTCATCTCATCAAGTCATCATGTTCAGATTGGACTCCCTTGATGACAGTTTGACACCTGTGAGGTAAAGGATCTTTGAGGAGTTAAAGATCAGTTTGAAGATCTGAGCATCTTTCCTACTCAGCAACAGCAAAGGTCTAAAAAGAAAAATATGACAAGAGATCTTTGAATCAAAAAAACCTTTTTTATTGAAGGATCCACATCAGAGAAATGCCATCAGGCTACTGATTAAACATGAGACTCTTCATTAATCTGGTCCAATCTAATGCACTTTACACTCTACATGCAAAACATTCAGTCTCTTTCCCACCAAAGGATCTTGATCAGCACTTAGATTTTGTCCTCTTATGATCTGATATTTTTATTCTCACAAAATATACATGGAAAAACTATTTTAAAGTAAGGGAGACTTATAAAAAAAAATAAAACTTAATTATGGCAATCCAGCTTTAAGGAGAAGCTTAAGTAAAAATTCCATGAGTGAGAAAAAACCCACCACCTGAGAGCTTTGCAAAAACATGCCGTCTCCATCCTGATCACTGGTAGCTGGTGCTTACTTACAAAGACGTTCCTGCACAGCAATACAAATATGTTAAAGCCATACAGCCCGAGATATAAAGCAGCCCTTGTTTATTATTATTATTTATATACACACACTCTAAAAAGGGTTTTCCAGATTTTTGAGTCGGAAGCAACTCCAGGAGTCTGCATTTTTCTGGAGGAGGAATCAAGTCTAGCAGCGGAGCAGAAACATTTATTTAACTACCGGTAATAAGCATATAGGCTAAAGCAGCAGGTACTTTCACACAACTTAAAATCAGGTGTTTGAGAAACCTTTCAACCTGTACCCCAAGGCTTCCAAATCATTGGAAATTAAATCTCAGAAGGCAAGAAAACGACTTAACAGTTTAGGAGGGGTCATTTCACATTAATCTTTATCAAACCACAAAGTCTACAGTTTCTTTATTTGCTTGAAAGGATAAAACCGTCAAATGGCACAAGGAGACAGGAAGTCACAAAAATCAGATGAGAGGAAAAAAATTCAAGCAGAATGAGTGACTTTATGGCAACAAACCAATTTAAAGTGCAGCCGATTCTGAATGATTGGCAGAGATGGGGTCCAACACGTGTTAATGAGGCACTGGAACAGGATGGGGGGGGTAAGGCTGTCTGTCAGCAGAAAACAAACACTTAAAAACCATAACATGTCAGGTATGCAGAGAACTTCAACTGTGGAGGTCTGGGATTTTTTATTTTTTTTTTGGGGGGGGGACAATTAGCAGCCAGCTGTGTGTTTAAGGAGCTGGTTCTGCATGGTAGTGTTGTCAGTCGTCGCTATGGCTCAGGAGCCGAGCCGGCGTAGAAACATATCTGTCATCCATCAAAACGTGTAGTGATGTCGAGGCTTGTCCTCTCATGCCACTCAGTTTCCAGTGTACAGGTCCACGGTGCTGGAGCTCAGGCCCCGGCTTTCCCTGAAGTTACCGCCTCCTCGATTCTGACAAGCAGACAGATACGTGGATGAAGCATCACAGAAGAAAGAGAAGTTAATTTAACATCTAGCTACATTCATACAGCTACTATCAAAAGAAGTGATTTTCTTTCAATATTTGCACATTTTTCTGTACAAAAACAAACTTTAATGTATCTAGTTAAGGTTTTATGTGCAGTAGATACTAAGTGGAAGAAAAGGAATCCACGATTAACAAAATTGGTGTTTTTCCACTAATTGTCCTGAATATAAATAATGGATCATAGGAAAGCATTCAGAGAAGCATTCAGCTTCTGAAGCAGCTGCAGAGATACAAGAATTTGTAGAAAGGACAACGGTTTGTCTCCTAATCTAACAAATGTAGCTATTATAGAAAAATGGTAAGATGGTGTTGCAATAACAAAAAAATAAAACAGACAAAAAACCCAATAAGAAGTCCTGTCTGCAGTTTATCTTAAACTATGTAGGAAAACCTGCAGTCATGTGGAAGAAGGGCTGCTGGTCTGATGTGACCAAAATGTAGCTAAATATTGGGCTCATGAATGCAATTAATTTTATTTCTGGGTATCAGAGAAGTTGGGTGTTGAACATGGTGTCTTACAGGGTTAACATTCGGGCTGCAACTAACGGTTATTTTGCAAATCGATTAATCTGTCAGTTATTTTTTTCGATTAAAAATAATTGGATAGCAAAATGTAAATTTAAAGATTTTTTTTTACAGAATTAAGCCGGGTGAAAGTCCTGGATAGAGCATACTGACAGAAGAAAAAGATTAGTACCGGTATCTTAAATGCAAAACGTTTACATTTTTTTTTTGTAACACAATTTTGGTATAATTGCTGCTCTAGGTGGGTCACTCTGTGAGCTAAAGGTATGTTTTTGAGTCTCTATATACTCCATTGTTTCCTAAACATTGCAGTATTTCGTTGGTCTGCAGCATCAAAGCTGTATCTGTAATGGGACAAAACCTCTGGAGGAAAGGACGTTAAACTGACTTCCTCACCTGGAATGAGTCGTCACTTGTTCTGTTCAGGAAATTAAGCGAAGCGGCTCTCTTCATGCTGGTAAAGTAACAACAGACATGTTTATACAGTATCCTGTATATCTGCTGAATTAAACAGCTGATTTCAGAAGATGCAGTGATAAGAGATGAAAAAACCAAAACACTATTTGATTTTGTAGTTTTACATTTACTTCAGACCAAATGTTTAGGGTAATTACTTGGTGCTGCGAGGTTCAGGTGGACCGTTGCCCTGAAGCTTCTTCACCAGCATCTCGCTGCTGCGACGCAAGACGTCTCGGAGCTTCCCCAGAGAACCGCTGCGCTGCAGAGCTCCACTGCCATCCTGAGGACACACAGACTCGTCAACCTTTTACTGACAGAGCCACCCATTCACACATTTAGAAGCACCTGTTTGTGCATCTATCATATTTATCTTCAAATCTCAACAGTGAATTTGTGAACATGCAAAGCAAGAGAATTTAGTGAATAAGTGCTGCAGGACAGGAAAGGACATGCAAGTTAGTTTCTGCTGTGAATTTTTTACCTTGATATAAAACCATTAGAGCTAAACTCAAAAGAAATAGCAGGTGGGGCAATTATTATGGTTACTGGGATTGGATGCCCTCTGGACTGCAAGAGGTCCAGAGGGCAGGAGGTGGGAAACAAAAAGATCCTAATTAATTAACTTCCCTATTGGATAATGTCTCCCACCCCATGCATAACGCTGTTACTGAACTGGAGAGCTCCTTCAATGACTGCTGCACCCTAAATGCACCAGGGAGCGTTAACACAGATCCTTCCTCCCAGCAGCTGTAAGACTTTATAACCACCACTGTTCACAGCCTCAATAAGTTGTTACATTAATGCTGAATTTGTACAGTTTCTGTCTTAGTCAGTTAAATAACAATCTATTATTCAAAAAAATATCCATAGGTGAATATGCAAATTACTTATATTATGAAAACACTTTACAGTAGAGTATTAAACTGTTCACTATTATGTTATTTCTTCTAAGGTTCACATTTGTGTGACCATTTTTTTCTATAATATTTATGCTGCTGTCAACACCAGAATTTCCCCATTGTGGGACAATAAAGGGATTTTCTATTGTATTTTATCCTGACTACCTTAATAAAAGTAGCAAATCCAGGTCTTTTGATTAAACCCTTTCAGTAAAACATAATACATCTGCCATCGTTTTCAGGTGAAGCAGCTTAAAGTTATTCCCTCCATACTTGGTGCAAAGCACATACCTAATGAGCTGTAGTCTCATAGCCATAAAATTACAATTTAGCTGAAGTTTATTTGTTGGAAGGTGGTTAATAAAGGTTCTGCTGTTAAAGTGTGATGCAACTCGACTCCAAATCCATGCAGTCGTTTTGATGTCTGAGTGTCGTCATCTGATTACTAATCTGTTCAGGGCTGAAACAAATCATTATTTTGAAAATTGATTAATCTGTTGATTTTTTTTTGTGAATAATCGATTAATAAACTGAAAGAAAAAGGTTCCTCAAAGAAGACTTGTATCCTCTTGATTAGTTTTGGATAGAGCATATTGACAGAAGAAAAAGTTTTTTTTTGTCTGAAATGCAAAATGTAAATTTTTTTAACAGTTGTGGAATAATTAAATAACTCAAGGTGGGTCGCTCTGTCAGCTTAAGGCGTGTTTTAAGGTCTCTACTGTCCATGTAATGATTAATCAATTACTAACTTAGCTGACAATTATTTCAATGTATTGACTCATTAATAAATTCATAACAGGGTTTATACAGGAACGAATAACTCTAACTTAATGCTTTTTAATGCTCTTAGAAATAATTTTAATGCCACCAACAGGTACCCATCGGCAGGCTGCAGGCATGTCTCAAATTCCCCGTTTTCCAGCCACTTTTATTGAAAGCTTTTTCTAAACATACGGCTTTGCGATCAACCGGACGCAGTTCCGGACAAACATATTGTGATATGTTTTGACAAAATTTTTTTAATAAATAAATTTTTTTTTTAAGAAAGCATTTAAAATGCCACAATAAACACATTTAATGAATTTTAATGCAAATTAAGGCCTTAATTAAGAAAAATTATAATTTAATGACATTTAATGATTTTTAATGAACTACGGAAAACCTGTATAAACAAATTCAGGGTTCCTACAGCATAACGCAAGTGAAATTTAAAACTTTTTAATGCCACTTGAAATAAAAATTTCAGACCAAATTTACACGAAACACAAGTAAAACCCGCTTGCGACAACTTAACCTAAAGGTTTATTTTAACATAAATCTTTGCACCAACGTTTCGAATTGCTCATATTTTCCAGAGAAAAAGTAAATGCTGCATCTTCCAAATGTCCCGGCCGCAACAACGCTTTTATTGGTTCCGCTATCGGGACGAAACCAATAATGGCGTGTCGTTTTTTTTTTTAATAAAATATAAAAATTGTCAATTTTAATGTTTTATTTAGACTACAAAAATAAATCGTAATAAAAATAATCCTTTTTATGATGTTTTAAAAATTAAGACCTAAGAAAGACTGATTTAAGACATTTTAATACCAATTAAGGCCTTAGATTTATTTTAAGACTTTTTAAGGACCCGCGGGAACCCTGAAATTATAAAGCTATATCTCTATTAGCGGCTTTATAGCAGATTTTTTTAAGCAACCCAGTATAGGAGCAGCTGATTAGGAGGTCATCCAGGAACTCAGATGAACACAATAATCTGTTACTTTAGTGCGTTGAATGTGGAATAAATTAAAAGGTAAATAATTAATTAATACACAGACCTTAATAACGTATCAGAATATTAGTCTGTATCAACAAATACCTGATTCTAAATAAATGATACAGAAGGAAAAATAAATTCTCAACTAGAAATTTATTCTTTCTAACCTTCTTTCCCATCCTATTCATGGTTGGTTGTGCTGAGGTAAAGTTCAGGGATTGTTCAACATTTTTTAATCCCACAAGTTTATTTCAAACTTTTACTTTATAGTTTTGACTGTAGAGACTTACGAGCATAGGCTGGCAGCTATAATCTAAAGTATCAACATAGACTTGCTAAAGAAGATTTTAGCATCACAACAAACAATAATTCACTCCAGTAAAATTGATTTACTTTACTATAAAATTGTTAAATTTCTTAAAACTTCAAAATATCAGTTTATTCCTTCTTTATTAGACAAATTAATAGGCTTTCTGGGGAAAAATAGACAGTCCAATTTTTTTCCTGTCCTTATCCCAAGACTGTGGGTCATATATCTCACAATACATTGAAAAATATATATACATCCTCTCACTTTTTCAATAATTTGATCACCAAAAAAACAACAACACTACAATAAAACCACAGAAGAAGAAATGTGGTTTGGGGATTTTACATAAAAAAAAAATAACAGCCCTTTATTAGAATGACATGTTATCTTTTATTTTGAAAAGCTGCTACCAGAAGTTTACTGGTTACATCATATTTATTATTATTTTTTTATATTAAACTTTATCTAGTAAGGGTACAGTTATCCTGAACTTCTTTCCCCCATTTTTTTCTGCTGAGTTTACACTTCCCCAAAAAGCCTTAACCTTTACAAAGTTGCTGTATAGTGATCAAATAGAACTTTTCCGTACTCCACAGCTATATGCAAGCTGCCATAGTCAGACGGCCTCTTTACACTAATGAAAAACGTGATGGTGTTTCATCCATCCATCCATCCATCCAGAGCTGGACCAGTCTTTGAAGAAGTAATGAAGGGCAAACAGTGGTGATGCCGCCATCACTATATTTTTACTAAAAGAGTTTCACCAGCAGGAGGTGCTGTGGGCACCTATGGATTTCTCCTTTTGCTCACATTGAGGTTTTCATCCACAGCAAAGAAAGAGACAAACGCTCACAAATGAAAAACTTTATTTGAGAATACCAACAAGTGTTGATGCATTAATCATCACAATGCAGAATGGTGAATATATAGATATAACGCAGTCCTACACACTAAGATAATGCTTCTAAAGCTCATGATTTTATGTTCTTTCACAAATAGAAACAAAAGTCACACTCTATAGGTTGAGAATAGACAGTTCAATAAATAAGCAAGCATTCCACTAACAGCAATATCATCATAACTGGGTGAACACTATTTATTTTTGTTCAAAGTTGCATTAGATGTATAGGTGTACTCAATGGAAAGGAATGAAGAATCAAGGCATGTAGTACACTAAAAAGCCAGAGAGTGAATGCAGCTGTCAAATCTATAAATACAGCCTAACAATTACACTTTCAAGATGTTAAGATCACTCACATTCGGTTAAGGTAAACAGTGAGGAGACACTCGCACTGAACCTCTGATGCCAAAAAAAGACAGGATTCACCAAAGCTACAATATTTATGCTGTGCAACAAGAAACAAAGGCAGCACAACCCATGAAGCTTTGCGTTCGAATGCGACTGTACCACTGCAATAGACGTATATTCACACCGACAAAGGGAAACCCTGTCGTCTGTTAAGTTACCGCATGAGGGTAAACCTTTAACGCCGTCGGATCAAATCAGCTCTGGGTATTTAGCATACGAAGGGTTAAAAGCCATCTTTTACATCTAGGGAATCTCTCAGGTGGCTGATATCTGTGCTGAATGCTCCAGTTGGTCTCTGCTTTTAACATGAAATATACTGGTGAGACGTTTACAAACACTTATTAGCATCACTGTCATAATATTCTGGGCTTCTAAAGTTTTTATTACTTCTGGATATTTTTATAAGCTGGAATGATTATAAAAAAATTTAACATTGATATTTTTAGGGGCACAAGTTTGAATTTATGGTATTTAAAAAACGATGAATAGAGGGTGGCGTCTGCTCAGTCTACGTTTGAACCTTGGATGATCAGGGAGAATGAAAAACTGACCTGCGCAACCAAAAAATAAGTGTTTGTAAACGTCGCGCCCTAACAGCATCATGGCAGAGCAGAGCCTTCCTAAACACCGTCAAACCAAACTCTAGCTGATTGGAGCGACCAGAACATATCACCATGGCAACAGCAGCTTCCTGACATCGAGTAAAAGTCTATTCTTCCCCCAACAGGCGAGAAACACCACCACTTTCATGCTGGGCCAAACTTATTAAAAACCTTTTATATTTTTCTAATGTAAACAATAGTGATACAAAAGTCTGGCAACATCTGACGTAAAAAAAAAGAAAGAAAAAAAAAGCTACTTTCCCTGCTGGCGCCTCCACAAAGAGGGATTAAACAGTACCATTAATAAGCCAGGCGTTAGGTAAAAAAAAATATATAAAAATAAAATAAAATAACAGGGAAAGATAATCATTTGAAAAAACATAAAGTGGCAAAAATCCAGG